GAAGGGTCTATTGCAGGGCAGTAGGATTGAATGACCACTTTGCTTTGAGAGACGGTGCAGACTAACTGGGCCTCCGTCCGTGCTGTTGATTTCTTAAGATTATATCACCTTTAGAAAAGATAGTTTCTGTAAGTCTAAATAAAATGGTATTTGGAAAATGTCAGTATGGTTGTGCATTGAAGAGTTAAATTGGTTCAGAAGAAAGATGTGTATTTTTCACAGCTGTGGCTCTCTTGTTAATTGTTGAAGTAATGATCCTGTATTTTTTAATCAGAATCAGCCCTGGGTACCCAAGGGTGATCCCAATCTTTAAATAAGTACCAGTTAGGTGTGAAAGTGCAGATTCACGCAGATCATCTTGGTGTTTTTGAAAAAGGATTTAAAAATATGAGATAAGACCAATAGCTAAGCTATACTTCATTCATTCTGAGTTAGTCAGCCCAAGTGTTCAGTTTGAGTTAGTGAGAAAGGGACATTAAGTTTTCCGCTCCTCCAGGAAGGCAGAACTTCTACCTGAGCTTCTGTGACTCCAGCCACTTGACCTCAACTGTTCAAGGTTGTAGCAGTTCCAGCAACATTGGAAGAAAAGTAGACCAGGCTGCAACCATACAAGAATACAGCTGCAACACTACTACAAGAGATTCAACGTGATGATAAAACACACATTGAAATGTACAATATGGTTTTCTCAGTTTGTCAAATGCTAATAAATAAGCACCACCTGCTGGATGTTCCCCCAAAGTAACTTATTTTCCAATTGTAATGAAGATGAATTAACCTAAGCTTTTTGAACACTCACGTTATTTCTGCTTTAACCACAACTATAAAAGCAATGTAGTGTTTGCTTGTCCGAAACATTGACTGTTCAGCACTTGAGATGTTTCTCCTCCACACTCGATACTCTTGCCCCTATCACCACCCGTCCTGTCTCTTACGCTCACTCCTCCCCCTGGTTCACCACCCACCTCCACTCACTGAAGAGCCAGGTGCACTGGCAGAACGCACCTGCCTCAAATCTGGCTGGACCTCCTCAAAATCTACCACTCCACTCCAGCCTCGACCAAGTCATCCTTCTACTCCAGGATAATCCTGGAGGCGAAGAACAACCCCAGGCTTCTGCTCTCTACCACATCCTGACTCCTCCGTCCACCCCGCGCATGTCATCTCCAACTTTCACTGCGAGGAGATGCTGGATTTCCTTGAATCCAAAATCAAGAGAATCCGCTCCGTGGTTACTGCCCCTCTAACTTCCACCCACCTCTTCCCTCCCACACTCCGACTCCTCCCCTACTATACCTTTGAACCTGTTACCCCACCATCTGTCACCAACCTCATCCTGTCCCTGAAACCCACCACCTGCTCCCTTGACCCCATCCCCACTCCACTCCTTATCTCCCAGCTCCACCTCCTCGTCCCACTTCTCACAGACATCATCAACCTGTCCCTCTCCTCTGGCTCTGTTCACATTCCCCTAACAACTGCCACCATCACTCCCACTTTGAAAAAACCCTCCCTTGATGCGTCGCAGCTATCAAGCTACCGGCCCATCTCCAATCTCCCCTTCCTGTCCAAGGTCCTTGAAAAAATCGTGGCCTCCCAGCTACGCTCTTTCCTCTCCACCCATTCATTATTCGAACCCCTTCAGTCGGGTTTCTGTGCTGCCCATAGCACAGAAACTGCCCTGGTCAAGGTCACTAATGACATCTTGACCATCTGTGACCAGGGCTCCCTCGGCCTCCTTGACCTATCGGCCGCATTCGATAAGGTCGACCACCCTATCCTCCACCGCTTGTCCTCCCACCTCAACCTTCAAGGCCCTGTCCTTGAGTGGTTTAGGTCGTACCTCTCCCACCCTCTCCATTTTGTTTCCACAAACAACTTTTCCTCCAGCCCCCGCACTGTCTTGTGCGGTGTCCCTCAGGGCTCGGTCCCCTCCTCTTCACCCTCTACATGCTCCCCCTTGGTGACATCCGCAGACATGGGGTTAACTTCCACATGTATGTGGATGACACCCAACTCTATCCTCTTCTACATTCAACTCCATGACCACCGATGTCCCGACACAACTTTCTTCAGCTCAACGTGCGCAAAACTGAGGCCCTCCTGATTGGCTCGCGTCAGCGCCTCCGCACCTCAGGCGCTGACAGCATCAGCATCCAAGGCTGCACTCTCCACCTCTCAAAGCCATCAGGAACCTCGGCGTTTAGTTCGACCCTGAGCTGTCCTTTCTTCCTCATATCCGCACCACAACTGGCGCCACCTTCCATCACCTCCGAAACATCGCCAGACTACGGCACTACCTCACCCCTCACGCTGCTGAAACCCTGGTCCACGCCTTTATCACCTCAAGGCTGGACTATGGGAACTCTCTCCTTGCCGGCCTTCCCGGCACCTCCCTCCACAAGCTGCAGGTCATTCAGAACTCTGCAGCTCGTGTACTGTCCCGCACCAGGCTTCGGGACCACAACACTCCCACCCTCGCTCGCTTCCACTGGCTCCCCATCCCCCAGAGGATCGAATTCAAGATCCTCATCCTCACCTACAAGGCCATTCACGGCCTCGCTCCCTCCTACCTCTCCGACCTACTATCCCCCTACTTACCTGCCCGTACCCTCCGTTCCTCTGGCTCCGGTCTGCTCCATATCCCCCGCCCTAACCACCCTACCATCGGTGGCCGGGCCTTCAGCCTCTCAGCCCCAAGGCTCTGGAACTCCATCCCCCAGTACCTTCGCCACTTCCTCCCTTTCTTCCTTTAAGGCCGGTCTCAAGACCTTTCTCTTTGACCGTGCCTTCAGCTCCCCTCTCGACTCTCTACCCTCTCCTCGCTCCCTCCCCCCTTCACCCTGACCATTTCCCCCCTGCTCGGGTCCCGACCCAACTGTCCAGTGCCTTGGGACGTCCTCCCGACGTGAAAGGCGTTCGATAAATGAAATCTTGTTGTTGTAGTCTTTCCAACTTGAACGGTGTAGTGGGGGGGGAATTGCACAGGTTAGCCGAGCGGACAGTGAGCAGGTGAGTGGGGAAGAAGATCACAGAAATAGGGAGATGGTAGGGCATGAAGGGATTTATAGGTTAGATTGAAGACCTTAAAATCAATCCTTGGAAGAGCCTGGTGAGGATTGGGTGATATCATTTGATGCAGATGAGGATATGGGCAAGAGAGCTTCATATGAGCTGGAGCTTATGGGTGATGGAAGTAGGGAAACTGGTGAGGAGTGCATTTGAGGATGCACATTTGTATATTTTGCTTTTTAATTATAATTCTGGTTCAATGTGTAGTGACTAGTCATTACAAACCACTTGCGTGTTCTTTCACAGTACCGCAAAGGTGGTGTCAACCTGCTTAGACAAGTGCTTGCAGGTTTCATTCATGTTCTTTGCATTCTCCATTGAAACTTTAGATCAACACTTCAAAGCCTTTGTCATGCTTTTGAAAAGGAACTTGGAATAATAGAACAGCTGATCTTTACCTCATTTCCTGATTGAATTCACAGCTGTTCTATTTGGCAGACTACTTGGGGACAGAAAACTTCTATTGGTAACGTGCAACCGAGCATGCAACACCTCCAACAATTAAGGGGGTGGTGGTGGGGGAGTCGTTAAGAGTCTTAACAAATAGTCTTCACATGAACTTAATCTGGAAGGGGAAACTGGTTATGTGGCTGTTCTACAGTTAAAGTTTTTTTTAAAAAAGAATTGAATTATAATTCCCAAAATACAAGCAGTAAATCTATAGCACTTTAAAAATTTCCTTTTTTTGCATCCCTGCCTAAAAAATAATTTAATCAGAAGCTACTGGCACCTTCCCAGGTTTTTCAGGTTTTTTTTGCATGTTGTAGTTCTTGTTTTACTGCATGCTATGATGTAATTATAATAATAATAATCCTTGCATTTGATAGAGCACTTTATCAAGGTCAAAACTTCAAAGTTCTGTAAAGTGTAGTCACTGTATTTGTAGGTAAATGTGGCAGCCAGAAAGGTCACACAAATAAATAGATATCTGAAATGCTGTACACTGTCCAGGGCCTTGGGATGTCCTCCCAACGTGAAAGGCGATATACCCAATGTAATATTGTTGTTGTTGTTAGATTTTTTTTGGCTGGGAGACTTGGCCAGCATTACCTACTCTTCAAATAGTATCATCAGATCTTTAATGCCTTTCTGAACTGGCAGATGTCATGTCCTCTGAAGCACAGTACCTCTGGCATTGGAGCACTCGTCCCAGCTTTGCCTTGGCCTGTCAGCTTCAACTGAGCTCAACGTCTTGATTGTGGGCTTGATTCCATAACTTTCTGACTCCATGTGAATTTTAAAAAAAAACCCTGAGGAGTGACTAAATAGCCAACTTTCAGCTGTGATTGGGAATATCTGTAAAATTTCTGTTTTAGTGTACAAGAACAACAACAAATTATATTTGTGTCTCAAAGGGCTTTACAGGTATACTATAAAGTAGATCGACTACATTTTGCGGGCGAATACGGCAGTAAGTTCCACAAACAGCTATGGAGTGAGTGACCGATTTTTTGGGGGGGGATTGTTGGCCAGGATACCGGGAGAAACTCCCTTCTCTTTTCGAATAGTGCTATGGGGTCTTTAACATCCACCTGAACAGACTCGGTTTAACATCTCATCCTTTGACAATGCAACTCACCCGCAGCACTGCATTGGAGCATCAGCTTCGGCTGATTCCAAGGCTTGAACCCACAACCTTCTGACTTAAGAGGTGAGAGTGCTACCACTGTGCCAGGCTGAATCATGTCCTTTCCCTTGTAATGTGAATTCCAGAACTGATTTGCTTAAGATATCCCTCACAGTAACCAGCGAGCAGTAGTTTGTGTATTCTTTTTAGTTCTACTTAATCCTCCTTGAAGCTTCAGTCCATTAACAGCCTTAAAAAGTGATTGGAAAAATGCATTATAAGTGGTAGACTTAAAGGTTATACAGCGGGTCGAGCTACTTGGGTAACAAACCTTGTAAGTTGTCTTATGTTTGTGTTATAGGTGAAGCAATGAGTGGAATTTACGAGGGGCTATGAGGCATCCAAGCAGCAAAAAACATCCTCTACACCTAAGAGATCAATGTAGCACAAAAAGTGGATTCCCCAAAACTACTCCTAAGATTCTCACTGGCTGCCAGTTTCAAATAGATTGCAGTAATTCTTCGTGTAGGGAGTAGAGTTTATTTATAATAATAATAATGCTTGCATTTGATACAGCTCCTTATCACGTCTTTGAGCCGTCTCAAAGAGCTTCGCAGAATATACTGTAAAGTGAATTTGCTGTATATTTTGTGGGCAAAACGCATCAGCCAATTCCGCAGTGGTGCGCAATTGTCCGTTCTCACGAACAATCGTCGATTGATCAAATTATTATTATTTGATATTATGCAGCATTATGCAATCTGTTTGGCAGCAGAAAGACCCAAAATCTAAGCAAACAGCAAGTCACGTGTTTATATTCCTTGGTTGAAATCAGAAATGCTTCTGAGATAGTTTTGTATTAGGTATGTGAGAATTCCTGGGTTGGAGAGGAAGGGAATGCTGAGATCTCTTGACCCTGCCAACTCAAGAAAAAAATTGATGCATAAAAGTGGGGAGAGAGCTGAGGATGATTGCAAGAATTTGCATCTATTTAGCACTTGGATAGGAAATGCCAGAGTGGGAGTTTGAGCTGGGAGGGAGATTGGGTTGGTGTAGGAGGGAGTTGGCCAAATCACAAGAATTAGAAAATACAGGTTTGTTGCAGGCGAGAGACCTGAGTTCAATTCCAGGCAGAGGGCGAAACCTTGGCAAGTTTCCTTACTCCACACAGAGCCTAATAATAATCCCTCCAAAAAAACAAAACAATGATAAATTGGTCATTTTCAACCCATGACTGTGGGACATTGCTGTGCGCAATTGGCTGCCGCGTTCGCCCACAAATGTACAGTCAATTCACTTTACAGTATATTCTGTGAAGCGCTTTGGGACGTCTAGAAGACGTGAAAAGTGCTATATCAAATGCAAGGATTATTATTATTATTATTAAACTAAGCAATTTAGTGGATGATTGTCTGCAATTGATGCCTCTCGCTGATGGAAGGGGTTGTGAAGCAGGGAAGAGGGAAGTGAAGGAGACCTGAGTCAGTTGAGCAGAGGATGTGGAGGGGGGAGTAAGACTGCAGGAGGTTAGAGATAGGGCAGGGTTTGGGGGAATTTGAATGCTGGAACAAGGACCTTAAAGTCCGTCCTTGGAGAATAGGGAGCCAGCGGAACCTGTTAAGGATGGGCTCCCAGAGCCTAATACAGACGAGAATGTGGGCTGTAGGTTCTGGCTGACCTGAAGTTTATGTAGGGTTGAGCTGAGAAGTGAGCGAGGAGGGCTTTGGAGAAGTCAAAGCGAAGGCATGAGAAATACAACAACAACTCGCATTTACATAAAGCCCTTCACGCGGAGTAGTGTCCTGGAGTGCTTATGCAGTGTGGTTAATATTGAATGTACATCTAAATTGACTCTAATGTTTAGATTGTGGTTCCTTCTTTGATTTGTACCTTATTATTGCCGTCTTTATAGCATTCTAGGCGTAACCCATTACCACCTTTTAACATTTAGATCGCCTTTGTTTCAGTTCATCGCTTAAATTGTCTCTTTTATAATGATTTTTTTTCCGTCGCTACCATCTTGTAGCAAATTTGCTGACCAAAACTTTGCATTTAGCGGATTGTAAAAATTTCAGTCACCCTTTCCTGTACTTCATTGATTTCCTTTAGTATTCTTGGATTCATTTCATCTGATACTGAAGTGCTGGAATATTCACAAAGCAATTTTTTAAATGACCCATTTCATTATTAATTTTTTTGGAGTGGATTTCTTGCATCTCTAAGGGCAAAAGCATGCTACTGCTTACTAGAGTATGAAAATGCTATGGTGTAAAAACTATTTGAAATCATGTATCAACATTTAAACCCTGAATGCTTATTGCAAGTACCATGAAAAATTCTGTATTGTTGTTATTTTGCAGGAAACGTATTTTAACAGAATGTTAAGTACCATGAAAACCGTTCTATTTCAAATGGGTCAGTAATCTTGTGATTCTACTGTGTCGTTCGATCCTGTCGTAGCAGTGAAATTTCACAGATGGTGATGGGGAATTAGGATGTCTTATATATAATAGTCCTCTTAGCGAAATGCATTCTACCCCAAGGCACCACATTTTTAATAGTTAACAGGAGCATCACCAAAAAAGCATTACTCCAGAGTCTGCTGATTTAATGATTTAATGAGAAATGCTATTTTTGTCCCCCGCCCGGCCCGCACCACCTGCAATGGTGATGCTCCCTCCCTTGCCACCTTCATGGCCTGTCTCAAGACCCTCCTCTTCGACCGCGCCTTGGGTCACCCTCCTACCCCTACCCTTCACCCCTCCTGATCCCAAACCCCCCCCCAGCTCCGGTCCAAATACTTGACTGTCCAGCGCTTTTGGGACGTCCTCCTGATGTGAAAATCCCTATACAAATGTAATTTGCTGTTGATGTTGCTGAAAAGGCTTTTGTTAAGACAAGTCGTTTGAACTTTTTGATAATGAATTGAGTCCATTGAAATATCAGCGTTATTTCTCAACACTGAATCGCAAAACAGTTCAACTATTTATTTAATCAATTTTTCACTTTGTTGAAGTAAAGTTACAATATCGTTGGGTATCACTTTTTTCATATGTACGCCAAATCAAAGATAACTTGATATTTTATTCCTTCCCTTTGCTACAATTTCACCGTGAGGCACATTTAGGAATAAGGTGTTACAGTACTAGCCGCAAACATAAGCTTTTATAAACTATTAATCATGTCTTTACTACACATTTTCTGGATTAGAACAGTAACAAAAAGCAATGAAAAGGATTGACTTGTTTACTACATCAGGTTTTACCGATAACATTTGAATCCATTATCCTGAGAATTCAGCATTTTTTAAAAACATGTTAAAATGTTCGGATAAATGTGGTACAGTGTCTGTATATGTGTGTACTCTTTTGACAAGTGAAGAGTTTTATTTTAACTATTTGTTTCATTAATGGATAAATACCACTCAATTTGAGTGATGCATATTATCAACAGGATCTACTTTGGGTGATAAACTTTCAGCTCCTCAGTGAACCTGTGATGTATCTACTGATTATATCAGTTCTCAAAAGGAATTGTATTATCAAGTTCATTTGTCAACCAAACTGATTTTTAAAATTCTTTTGGTTCCATATGGAATTATTCATATGCAAAAACAAAGACGGCTACATTCATTAAAAACACTTAAAACCATGTAACGGCCACCTTTCGTTGTGTATTTAAGACATCGTGTTCCCTCCATCTCATTTTATTTAGTGAAAACGTGTTACATTTTTCCAATGGGGGGAATAAAAAAATTGAATGGTTCATCAGTCATTGGTTCACGTTGGGAGGGAGGGATTCTTGGGCCAGATCATTGTCATTAGGAAAGGGTGATTAGCCATTATTATTCTTGCCCCCCCCCCACCCCCTAACCACCCCCTTTCCCCCCACATGTGACTGACTCGAAGTAGCGCTGAGCAACGACGACGACAAAATTACATTTGTATAGCACCTTTCATGTCAGGAGGACGTCCCAAGGCACTGGACAGTCAGGAATCTGCACCCAAGCTGGTGGTTGGGATCAGGAGGGGTGGAGACGGGGAGGGTAGGGGTGGGAGAGTGACCGAAAGCATGTTCAAAGAGGAGGGTTTTGAAATTGGTTTTGAAGGAGTCAGGTGAGAGGACGAGGCGGAGGAACTGTGGGATGGAGTTCCAGAGGGTGGGGGGGGCAGAGAGACTGAAGGTCTGACCGCAGATGGTGGGGCTGGCCGGGCGGGGGACGTGGAGCAGATCGCAACCTGCTGAGCGGAGGGAGCGGACAGGTTGATATGAGGTCAGCAGGCCGCAGAGGTAGGAAGGTGCAACGCCGTGGAGGACCTTGAAGGCGAGGGCGAGGATTTTGAACTCTCCTCTGGGAGATGGGGAGACAATGGACATTGTCATCAGCAAAGGGTGATTAGCCCTTGTTTCCCCCCCCACATTGTGACTGCCTCGGAGTAGCATTGAGCAAGACGTGGGAGCAGATGACCTGCCCATTCATTCAGCCCATTGAATAAAAGGATGCGGAAGGTGTGCTCATACCACTGCCCCACAAGCTCCGAAGCCCTTCAAGTAACAAGAACAACCAGAACAGCCGATGGTTTCATCCACAAGATAATTTATTTACATACGGCAAAAAACACTGACATTCAACAAAGACCAGTCTGGTGTACACACTAAGGGCTTGATCTAGCAGTGATTATTCCTGCTTTTTTTTCCAAACACATGCACAACTTTATTGGCCGAAAAATGATCAATCTAATCTCTAATTCAATATGGTCAGTGGAACTTTGAATTCACTAACCAACAGAATGTGGCAGCTATGAGTCATGGTAACTACATACTATTTTTTTCCATTTAGTCTCACTAAACCACTGGCAAAACACATTAATCATCTCTGTTACAGTGAATGCTGGAAATTCTGTTTTCTGCATTTTTAAAAGATAATCAAAGTTTCACATTTGTCTGGGAATACTGCATAATATTATTATGCTTCATTTTAATAATAATAATCCTTGCATTTGATATAACACCTTATCACATTATCAGGACGTCTCAAAGCGCTTCACAGAATCTAGTGTAAAGTGAATTAACTATTTTGTGGGTGAAAACGTGGCAGCTTATTGCGCCCAGCAGTGTCCCACAAACAGTTGTGGATTGAGTGACTTTTGTTTGAGGGTTTATTATTATTATTATTATGCATGCCAGTTCACACAGGCTTGAAAGTTTGTACATCACAGTGCTGCCCAAGAAGATTATGGGAACTGACAAGGCTTCACTGGGGCTCTTGTTAAAGCACACCAATATTCATGTTTACTAGGAATGTCTTTGGCATTTTTGAGAAGTTAGCTGGGGGTTAAACAAAGCAATGAGTTTGTTCTGTGCATCAGGGTATCAAAATTAGACAGAGTTCCACACAAGCACACGACACCACCTACACATGGAGATTTACCCGTGTCTGGAATGGAATGTGCACTCTCGCCCTGGAGGAACGCACCCGTTTTTGCCTAATTCCAGAGAGTATTAGTTGTAGGTTGGAAATAGCTGAGGCTTGGGGACTGGTATTGGGGCGTTGCTGGAGTTTAACCAGCTAAAGAACCACTTACATTGTCAATTCGAACACTTTACGGCAAGCTTCTCAAAGCTTATCCGGTAAGGACTACCCTATTCATTAGGGCTTTCACTTGCAGTGTTCAAATAGGAACAAGAATCCCTGTCCCCAATGACCAAGTTTGCCTCCCCCCCCCCCCCCACCCTCTCCCAAGTCCTGCCAAGGAATCAGGTTATCTGACATCAACATTACCTTAAACTACTGTGGAGTTGGACTACTGACACCACCACAGAGGATCGACTTAACTCCAGTTTGTCACCTTAAGAGCCACCTCGATCCCAGGAAGACCTCGCTGAGCTGGCTCCTAAGGTGACAAAATATCAGAATTGAGTTGACTTTATGCGGCTGTCTCGGTCCATTGGCCTATTTTGCTTTGCTTACGATTAATCCATTTGTTAGATGGGCTGATTTTAAAATCAATATCGTTTTTTTTTAAAGAATTTTCTGTGTGCTTCAAATGGTAGAGACAGTGATAGTTGCAGTCACTCATCATCTCCTAAGCAAGTTCACAACTGTTGGGAGTTTAACTGTTTAGAGATAATGTGCATTTGCCATGATTTGAGTGGGTTATGGTTAGAGTCCGGTCCTGTAATGGGAATTAGGCATGGGTTTTTGAAGCTTTTCCTTACACAAAAAAAAACATAAAAGGTCTGTACAGCAGCATACAAAAGAGCAGTTTGGCACATAACCACAAATCACAGAGGCACGAACAGCAAAGTGTTTACAGCTTCCATGACTGCAAAGGCAAACAGGTAACACACTGGTGAAAGTGCTTCAGCTGCGAAGCGATTAAAAATAGAGCGTTTTTTATATAGCACACTAGATGTTTCACTTCCATCTGATTGTTGTCCTGTCTTCAGTGTCTAGTATGTCAGTCAGTGTACTGCACGTTTTATAACATCTCCATTGTGCTGTTTCACGTTTAAAGGTTACACTCGGTACTAAGTATTTACACAATTAACTTGTGACTGCAGTACAGTACTTAGGTTAGATGAGGTCTTATTGAGGCTGAAATATGCACTGTTGTAGCTGTGATTAAGGCTGACCAAGACACTCTCCACCCCTCCCCCACCCACCCACCCACCCCCCCCAAACCCAGTTTTTAAATCTAGAAATGCTTAATAAAAGTTTGCATCATTGGTTAAATGACAGACTACTTGTACAGATGTTTCACATGTTTGTAAGCTTTAAACACCCCCCCCCCTTAAATACACACTGTTATTCATAAATATTACTGATATATTATGTACAATACGGTGATCTCCTTGTAACTTACTTGAGAAAACAGCCACGATAATCTTTTTTTTTCAAAAACCAGTTCGGTGAAGTGTAATGTGCATTCTTCAATGCCAAGAGTCATCACAATGCTGGTAATATTCATTGGTATCATGATGATTGCTACATACTATGAGGTAGGCCACTTTCAACAAGTAAGTCAGCACTTTTGAAGTAAAATGAAGAATCGTCAATATATACATTAAAAAGGAAACAAGACAGTGATAACTAAGCTCAAGATAGTTCCACAAATATCAGGGCTATGGATGACATCAATGGTTTCAATCTCTCTTGTGTGTAATGGCCTTGTAACCTTGGGACCTCTTCCCGATGTGAAAGGTGCTATACAAATGTAATTTTGTATTGTATTTTAACCATCTGCTAACTTAAGTATAACCCATACCTCTGCCAAGACATGCTAACTGTAGACAGCTTGCTTCATGATATTTTAGAAAACTAACCCTAAGTGACAAGTGTAGATATTGTGTTAAAACTCGACAAAAATAAAATCCAGTTTATATTCAGCGTGAATATCTGGAAGGATAGCGAGATTGGACTTGAAACTTTCAGCTGGGTGTGCGATGATAACTGTACTGTTGCTGTACACGTGTACAAAATGTTTCACCTCGGGTGTTTAAACAGGGAGTCTGAATCTGCAGGAAACTGGAGCAATGTCCTCTCGCACTTTAGAAGGAAGTTTCTCTACAAAAATGCATCTTGATAAAGACTCAAAACTTCAAAGCTTCCATCACAAAGGTGGATGGTGTTCTTGCCGGTCCGTTTTTCAGGTTATGCTCTCGTCAGTTTGCGTCTCGATCATCAGTTTCCATCACTTTACAGACACGGTTAATACATCTGGCAATGTTTCCTCTCAGTCTGGCATGGAATAAAATAATTATCTTAAAGCACCTCGCCTGGTTGACATGGGGTAGGTATTGGGGGAAAGAAAGGAATGATCAATCCATATGCATGGCACATCTTAAAACACTTATCACGCCTTTATCAGTTGATGTTAGCTACAAATATATGACTTGATCAGGGATCTGTTAAAATAAACACAGTAAATAAAAGCAGAACAACAACTTGCATTGACATCTTGCATTTATATAGCGCCCTTCACGCTGGGCAGCATCTCGGAGCGCTTAAGGAACACGTGTGAACAAGAGCAGAACAAGTGTGAAAAATAAAAAAGACAAAGAAAAGATTTTAGTGGCAGTATTGGTCTCCAATCTCCAGTTTATGAAGTATTAGTAGAGCATTCATTGTATTTTGTCTGACAATTTAGTTAGCAGGAAATAAGTGCTGATAGCATCATATTCTAATAAAAATAATCCTTGCGTTTGATATAGCGCCTTATCAGGTCGTTGAGACGTCTCAAAAGCTTCACAGAATATATTGTCATATTGGCTAATAATGCTGCTCCATAAAGACTATATAAATTTGAGTGCAGCACCATGACCAGCTACTTACCTGTTAGTAATTAGCTACTCAATGTTTCACCCGCTCAAAGGGCTTCGCAGAATATATAGTAAAGTGAATTGACTGTATATTTTGGGGGTGAAACGCAACAGCCAATTGCGCACTGCAATGTCCCAGTCGTGGATTGAGTGACCTTTTTTTTAAGGGATTATTACCCCCAGAAGTGATCCGCCAATCGACTAACAACTGGGTTCCTACTCACTGCCAGCCCTGCCTGGGAATTGAACCCGGGTCCTCTCTCTTGCTCTTACCAATTCGCTACAGGACTCCAATTCAGGGTTGAACAGATTATCACCATTGAGTAGAACCAGACTCAGCTGAGCAATAAAGAAGGATTGTACATTTACACTGAAGAGTAAGTCTAAGCAATTTACTGCTAATCCTGGATGATATGCAGAATGCTGTACAACATGTGCAGAAGCTTTGTGCTTCCAACTGGTGGAGTCACTGTTCATTGGGTTCTTAATACCTTGACTAGTGCAATCTCTGGCTACAGACAAATGGGGCAGGGAGGAGATATTAAAGCTAATTATAATCTTTTACAACTCTGGATGTTTAATAGGTTTCATAGAAGCCTCTTTGAGGGTATTTATACTAAAGAAGTCTGCTGTCTAAATGCTCACTTGACATTACTGCGCTTTTAAAGTCCACAAGTAGTAAATATATCCCAATGGAAACGTTTCCTGTTAAGTTAAAATGCACATACTGATGAGTGGTGAGCACCACTGAGGGAGCAAAACAATGATCCTGTCATGTACAGTACATAGCAGAAGATGTCAGTCATTTAGATAAGCGCTGGGTATACAAATGGTGGATAGAAATCTCAGCAAATTAATGCCTTAATCTCTTGCTGCTTCTAGCTCGCATCCTCCAGTTTAGATTTGGGAGCTACCTTTGTAATTTGGGATTTTGATCGGCTGATAAAAGGTTTTGAAGACCTGGGATTTTTGTTTTGCCAGTTGCAAGCCTGGACACATGTGAACGTAATTGGTTGATTTTTTTTCACAAATCAAACCAGGAGAACAAGGGCTGAACAACTAATAATAATAATTTTTATCATTATCATCATCATAATTATTCTTGTATCTGATATAATGCCTTATCACATCGTTGAGATGTCTCAAAATGCTTCACAGAATATACTGTAAAGTGAATTGATTGTATTTTATAGGTGAAACTCAGCAGCCAATTGTGCACAGCAGTGTCCCACAAACAGTCGTGGATTGATAGACCAAATTCTTCTTATTATTATTTTTGTGGGGCTTGAAGCAATATTCGAAGGAATTATTAGCCCCGGAAAGCGATCTGCCAATCGACTAACAACCAGACACCTACTTACTGCTAAGTAAACAGAGGCGTGCGGAGTAAGGAAACTTGAAAAGGTTTCAAGCGAGAGGCAAGTGTGCTAACCACTATGCTACAGGACTCCACTACACTCATTGGTGAAACAAACACAAACATGACAAGATCTGGATCAGTAAACTCCTACATGGCACCATAAGTGTTAAGTTCTCACTGTAACAGCGGTATTTCAAAGTTCTATTCATGTTGGGGCATGACTGTGATTGAGTTCTGACCATTGGATTTACAATGGCACATTGACTACTTTGTGTCATCACTTCTGCGTCAAAGTTGTAAAGACGTCCAGCCTTTGAAAGCACTAAACATCACCATTTCATGGTAACGCACATTAACCTGCCTGATTGGTAACGCACAATATGCAGGAAAGAAATTAAGCCGTTTTAATCTTATCTCATAAACATTTTTAAATTGATTCCGTGCCCATTCTGAGGACGTTTCATGGCTTGCAGGATACACAGCCTTTTATCTTTACACGTTGAAGGTCAATGTCAGCACTGTGAGCAGCTAGTTATTCCATTAATCAATGTACGGGACATCAGCATGTGGTTTGCAAAGACATGGACCAAATGATAGTCTCAAGGCACATAATATAATAATAATAATAATCCTTGCATTTGATATAGCGCTTTTCACGTCGGGAGGACGTCCCAAAGCGCTTCACAGAATATACTGTAAAGTGAATTGACTGTATATTTGAGGGCGAACGCGGCAGCCAATTGCGCACAGCAATGTCCCACAAACAGTCGTAGATTGAAAATGACCACTTATTGTTTTGGTTTTGGAGGATTATTATTAGGCTCTGTGTGGAGTAAGGAAACTTGCCCAAGGTTTCGCCCTCTGCCTGGAATTGAACTCAGGTCTCTCGCTTGCAAAGCGAGTGCTCTAACCACTGAGCTACAGAACTCCACTATATGGGTGTATGAACATGACCAACAGAGGAATACTAAAGTGTGCAGTTTATTCTCATTTTCCAAATCAAATGTAAGGATTATTATTATTATTATTTTTAGTTATGCTCTTTATGTCACCCCACTATTGCTGAAATGACTGGCAGGAAAAGCCTTGCTATAAACTGATCATGACGGATAATAAGAACCTGAGTCCACATCTCTTTGGTGAATGCAGTGGTCTATCAATACAGAAGGTTTGTAAGTGTAGCCAGACACTCTACATCGCTATTACAAAGAACACATTCACCAGAAAGAAAACTCTTGAAAGTATTTCCATAGCAACGACCACTTTGTTATCTTCTACGCATTAAGTATGATAGGGCTGGAATTAGACATTTATTCAACAACAATAATTTGCGCTTATCTAGGGCCTTTCACATTGTGAGAACGTCTCAAAGTGCTTTACAAAGACGGAGTGAGATCCTGACCTGAGAGGGGATGGGGGGAAAGGGGGAGGTGGCCAGTCAAAGAGAGTTTGGTTTTTAGACTGGTTTTGAAAGCAGAGAGGGAGGGGGTTGAGCTGATATATTGTAAAAGAGAATTCCAGAGGGCGGGGGCAAAGTGGCTGAAAGCTTGACTGCCGATCACAGGCATTATGAAGCTTTCCATATTGTTGGACCAGCTAACAGGAATGAGATCTGCTTATAAATCTAATCCTGATTAAAATGAGTTTGTTTTTTTAAAAAAAATATTGCAAAATTCTGGCTACTGTTTTGCATATCTGAAAAAGCTTTAAGAATAAGTCCTTAATTGGTAATAATTCTTTTTTGTGTGTGATATTGAATATAGTTTTAAAAAGTATCATATTGGGGTGAAAATCGATGTGTTAATTATCACAAGTCGCAATTTTTACCTCAATATGTATTTGCAATCGGCACAATTGGTAAATGCTAAGCAAAGACCTTGTGCGTAGTTCAGAAGTGCACGAAACAAAGATCTAATCAGAAAAGAAAATATACTGTTGATTCTAAATAGTGAGAAAGTGATTAATGTGGAGATTCCATTAAAGGAGATGCCATCATGGATACCTGCAATCTTTAAATGAGTACAGATAGGCTTTGCTTAATAGAGGTGGTCTGATAAATGGCGCGATTACACTCCCAGCGGGTATCATTCAGTATGAAATGCATTTCTGCTTTGCAGAATCCGTTGAAGATGAAGATTTAACAGTGTGATCAATCACGCCGCCAAGGAGGAAGTTGGGGCTTAGCATGTTGTCCTTTGCCTCTTCTTATATTTGGCTCTGAACGCAATTCACACTGATGAGGAGATAGGCCCGATGTAAAGGTACGACATGGAATAATTTGGGCAATTTCAATTTTGTTTTAGTGGAAACATAATTCCCACTATTTCCCATAGAATCTCGCAGCGTAGAAGGAGGCCATTCGGCCCATTGTGCCTGTGCCGGCTCTTTCAGAGAGCCACCCAATTAGTCCCATTCCCTGGCTCTTTCCTCATTGCCTCGCAATTTTTTTCTTTTCAAGTACATATCCAATTCCCTTTTGAAAGTTATTATTGAATCTGCTTCCAACACCCTTTCAGGCAATGCATTCCGGATGGTAACAACTCAGGGTGTAAACAAAAAATTCTACCTCGTCTCTCCCCTCTGGTCACTGATACTCATGAAGTTACCAAGTACGGCAATTATATTTAGACACTCAGTTTGTGGAATGGGGGTGAGAGGGAAGAGAAACAGTATAGTGATATAGTGCTGGGGGGGCGTGTTGCATTGTTAGAGGTGCCATCTTTCGGATGAGCTGCCTGTTCAGGCGATCGTTAAAGATCCCATGGCACTATTCGAAAAGCGATGGGAGTTTCTCTTGGGGTCCTGGCCAACAATCCCACAGCTAAAATCGATCACTCACTCCATGGCTGTTTGTAGGACACTGCTGTGTGCAACTGTGCTGCCGCATTTGCCTACAGAAATATGGTCAATCCAGTTCACGGTAAATCCTGTTGAAGCGCTTTGAGACGTCCTTCCGACGCGATACGGTGCTATAAAAAAGGCAAGAATTATTATTATTATTTATTATTATTATTATACCTAGGTAAAAATATTCAAAATTGTAGTAAGAAGGGGTCTCTGAGAAAAAAAAGAGCACTCTTGCCTGTTTCTTTGGGCTGGGCGACTGTGGGTCATTTCATTTCATTGAGGACAGGATGAAGTGACATAAGACAAGTTGCAGGGCGCACAACCCACGAGAATTCACAAGCCTGTACGAGGAAATGACTGGCCTGCAGTAAAGCAGAGAAATGTGGAGGAGGGAGGGGGAGGGGAGAGCGCCACGGATAAGTAGCACAAGTGACAGATTGTTCCTCATTAGAAGGCAATAATCTCAAATTCCTAACCTGTCTCTCCCTCACGTGAATGTCAGATGATAGCTGGGTTGCGAGATGGAGCACCTCGTGATCCAATTAGTTTGTGCTCAGCACGGTAAGAGGAATGGTTAAACCTTAGTTAATTATGTAAATCATTTAAATCATTTGCTATTTGTATCTAAAACTTTGACATTCCATCCATTACTTTCCACGCGTTCCAAGGAAATTTCCCTTTTGTCTGAAATTTTGGGACACCTGCCGTGCGACAAATGAGCTGGCGTGTTCGCCTACAAAAAATACACAGTCACCACACTTCGTAGTATATCCTGTGAAGCTCTTTTAGATGTCCTCCTGACGTGAAAGATGTTGTATTAAATGCAAGGATTCTTCCTATAAATTGGCGTGAAAACTCACTCACTGTTTCCCTAAGTACCTAATCGCAGAGAGTTTAGCCAAACATTGACAAGAGGCAAGACTTGGTGGTCCCAGAATGTGCATTAAGGTAGTGTGGGTGTTCCACCAGCTAAAACTGCACAAAGTGTCATTTATGCACGCGTGGTTGGGCAAGTTTTCCACTGCGTGTCCAGCTAGGTCCACCTTGTGTGTTAGGGGTTTGGCATTCAAGACGCTGAGCAATTGGGATGACGAACACAAAATAGACAGTCAATTCACTTTACAGTATATTCTGCGAAGCTCTTTGAGACGTCTCAATGAAATGATAAGGCGTTACATCAAATGCAAGGACTATTATTATTATTATGGTTCTTGCCATGCTGTGGCAGCCTCTCCATCTACTAACTTAGAATAATAATCCTTGCATTTGAAATAGCACCTTATCACGTCTTCGAGATGTCTCAAAGTGCTTCACAGAATATACTGTAAAGTGAAATAACTGTATATTTTGTGGGCAAAACTTGAACCAAGGGCAATGCTAGTATTGGCCAAGGGGGGACTAGACATTCCCAGAGAAGATCGTGGGAGAGGAAAGGGATGGAAAAGTCCTGTAGCTCAGTGGTCAGAGCACTTACTTTGCAAGCGAGAGACCTGGGTTTGATTCCTGGCAGGATGAAACCTTGGGCAAGTTTCCTTACTCCACACGCCTGATAATAATCCCTCACAAAAAAAACAATAATAAATTGGCCATTTCAATCCACGACTGTTTGAGGGACACTGCTGTGCGCAATTGGCTGCCGCGTTTCACCCACAAATATACAGTCAATTCACTTTACAGTCTATTCTGTGAAGCGCTTTGAGACGTCTCGAAGACGTGAAAAGCGCTGCATCCAATGCAAGATTATTATTAATATTATATAAAAACAATAGAGCAATTACAGGCTTCACAAAAGCCAGTGATAAAACCTCTTTTGGGGCTTTTGTAGAAAAGCCAGAAGATCTGGGCATCATTCCATCTGGGTGGTGCTTTGCGGAAGCAACGTAATGATGCGTCTCCGAGCAATTTATCACGTCATGGATTTTGTACGCAATGGAGCAATTTCTCTGGAGCGTGTGCGTAAGCTGGGCATAAATGTCATTTTGCTCGATTCCAAGCAACAGCGAGCAGGAATGTGAATTGGACCCTGCTTGTGCAGCAACCATTTAGCCATAGCAGGTGGAACATATTGATCTGTGCTCCCGGAGCAGACTTCACTGCTGGTGCGCACCAGTGGACTGAGGAGACAAATAGGGTCGAAATTGCAGGGTTTGCAAAGGAATCTTAAATAGCGAGTCCTGGAGCTAGCCTGAGGTGTGTGAACTTCAGGGTGACCTGCTCGGAATGGGATCTTGTTGTTTTTTTGTTCTTGTTGGCTGGACATGTGCCTTACCAGCGGGTTTATGTATCAATCCTATGTGGATCTGGTCCATATCTGCATATCGCCCACAAAATATACAGTCGATTCACTTTACAGTACATTGTGTGAAGCGCTTTGAACGACGTGATAAGGCGCTATATCAAATGCAAGGGTTATTATTTAACAATAATAAGATTCACTATATACTATAATAATATTATTTATCCATTTTGGCATGGATTTTTTTAAACCAGATTAATCTGCTGTTCATTCCCTTTCACCCTTTCCTGTTGTAAACACAAGACCGGTCGAGTTACGTGGCAAATAGCAACAAAAAGTTGTATTCATACAGCACCCTTCACTCAGGGTAGCTAGCGTCTTAGAGCGGTTAAAGAATAAACAGACAAACACAACTGCAATTTGCTTGCTGTCACTCTTCGAAACACATACCTACCTCACTGCCTGTTAAGGATTTCCATCATCTGCAAGAGAACAAGACGGTAAAAGAGGTTAATTATCTCACACCTAGAAATAAAACATACAATCAGCGGAGAGGCTGCGAATGACACTGCAAACCAAAGCAAAGCAGATCTGTTCCCTTTTAATAGGAAAGGTAAGTTACCTTTTTATGCTTAGCGTACGTGAAAATCTCCACAACAACAGCAAAAACAACTTGCATTTATATCGCCCCCTTCAGGCGGGGCAGCACCTCGGAGTGCTTAATAATGCAATAAATACAGCGGGTGCAATAAAATTAATTCTAAAACGAAAATCCCCCTTTTGGAAAAACAGTGTATTTGACTGTGGAACTCGAGCTTGTCAACAGAAGCCCAATGTCTGCTTATCCAGTATAAATAGTTAAGGGCTTGGCTGATGTGGAGCTGTGAGTTTCGCCCCTAATTTCCGAAGGCTTTTGAATTCCAGCTCGAATACGCTCGCTCTTTGTTCATCTGTCCATATCTGCAAAGCTCGATTGAATTGCTACCTTAATTATCTTCTTCACAGAGTACACAGCAATTATAATAACCAGCCTTCCTCATGCCTGCTGCCAACATGCGAACCACACTGACCACTGATGGTAAACAACTCTCACCCATATCAGTATTTGAACAGCTTATAATGATCACTTGCAGTCAAAGTACAATTGTAATCATGACTCATTTATTGGGACCTGTGATTTCCACGGTGTTTGGTCTATTAAAATTCATATCATGTCCTGAAATCAAAGGCCAAGTAAAAACCCTGGTTACTTCACACTGATTCGCCCAGTATCCATCCATTTCTGTCATCTTAATCCTTAGTTGTCTCACCTCCTCACCTCTTCATTGTTTTCCTTTGGAAACTATTCAGATTTTGTGTGTACTGAGTAGAAAACTGCTGTATATGCAAAATACAACATTGTCTCCTTTACAGGCCAGAAATGACACCTGGTTTTAGCTGTGAGAACATTTAGTTTTAAACTCTCAGACCGCCCTTCGGGTGAGACATTAAACCAAGGCCTCGGCTGCTTGTTCAAGTGGACGTTAAAGATCCCATGGCACTATTAGAAAAGAGCAGGGAGTTTCTCCTTGTATCCTGACCAATAATTCCTCAAATAAAATTGTTCAGATGAACAAAGTCTTCATGAATGTATGTGGATCATTGCCTTGCGCAAATTGGTTGCTATGTTCGCCCATAAAACACTGCTACTGCACTTTACATTTTGCCAACCACTTTGTGAAGGACTGTGAGACGTTCTCAAAGACGTGATGAGGCGCTACATCAAATGCAAGGATTATTATTGTTATTATTTACAGTAAAAATCCCGTGAAGCACTTTGGGACGTCCTTAAGGCTCTGGGATGCTATCCCGGGTGAAGGGCGCTATATAAATGCCAGTTGTTGCTGTTGTTGCCCTCCTGATGTGAAAGGCATTATACCAAGTGTAAGGATTATTATTGTGTAATTATTGTGTGGAACTGTAAAAGTTTTCATTTGGAAGCTGGTTTTGTACAATTCTTAAAAAGAACCAACTTCCAAATTCTAATTCCTCTTTACGTTCATAATAACAATAATAATAATCCTTGTATTTGATATAGCGCCTTGTCACGTGTTGAGATGTCTCCAAGGCGCTTCACAGAATATATTGTAAAGTGGATTGACTGTGTATTTTGTAGGCGAAACACGGCAGCCAATTATGCACAAACAGAGGTGGATTGAGTGACCAAATAAGTATAATAATATTATCTCTTTACATTTATGACCCTGATGCACAATGTGGAACTATTCTATGGGAAGCACATGCAAATATCCAGTAAAATGGCTCCTGTATTTAGCAGTTGTGAAATAGATTTATTTCATTTAGTTTTACTGGCATCATATGTGCTCCAAATACGAATTTGAAGCATTCAACCAAAATAAATATTTATTGCTCGTCAGAAAACCTCTGACGGCTCTGTAGTTTTCTCATTAGACATGTTAATGCAACTGTTTCAGTCTCTTCCACTGTGAACTCCCTTCTTTATTCAGTTAATGCTGCTTTGTCTATAAGCCGCGATGTAAACTGAATACAGATTAGGAGCATCAGGCTAACACCCTTCATGCGGTTAGCGTCAGAGTAGATACTATCTGTCGAGTGGAGTTTAATAATAATAATAATCCTTGCAACTCATGACATCACTGAGACGTCTCAAAGCGCTTCACAAAATACACTGTAAAGTGAATTGACTCTTTTTTCTGTGGGCGAAATGTGGCAGCCAATTGCGCACAGCAACATCCCACAAACAGCTGTGGATTGAGTGCCCCAATTCTTTTTTGAGGGGATTACACCCGAAAAGCGATTCGCTAATCAACTAAAAACCGGGTTCCTACTTACTGCTGGGTAAACAAGAGTCGTGCGGTGTAAGGGAACCAGTCTAGGGTTTTGTCCTGCTCGGGAATCGAACCCGGATTCTCTAGCTTGCGAGGTGAGCAGCCTAACCAATAAGCTGCAGGACTCCTCAAGTTTATCCCACTTGTAAGCATTTCATAACCTACTTGTGACCTTGTACCTCAGGCACTGAGAAGTTAATGAATCCAAGTCTGATTCTGATAGCCACAAAGGCACAACCTCATTAATGTGCTATCTGACTGCACCGACAAGGTCTAGATCTAGATTTTGTAGGTGAAACGCAGCAGCCAATTGCGCACAGCAGTGTCCCACAAACAGTCGTGGATTGAGTGATCAATTTTGTTTAGATTGTGATTATAAAGAGCCGTAACTCATCTGAAAGTTTGCATACTTCATATCTGTATTCCTCTGAGCTGTGCAAAATCAGTTCAACATCAATCAATCAACTATCATTTGGCGTGTGAAATGTCACCTCTAATTCAAGAAACCCAAGCCGTGCATAAATGAAGAACAGATCAGCACATAAGATGCATTCTAATTTAAAAAATTATAAGAAGTAATAATTCTTGATCTGATATAGTGCCTTTCATGTCAGAAAAATGTTTCGTAGACGTCTCATAGTCATAGATGTTTCGCCCCCAAAATAGAGTCAATCACTTTACAATATATTCTGTGAAGTGCGTTGAGACATTTCAATGATGTGATAAAGCGCTAAATCAAATGCAAGGATTATTATTATTATTATATTAAAGGTGCTTTGCAGGATATACGTAAAATTATTTGGGCAAATGAACTGAAGATTGATTCATTTTTCTAGGCCCAGAAGCTAGAACACAGATGACAACCAGTGAATCGCTTGACCTAAAGAAATCTAATTATTAAATGGTGTCTATTTTAGTTGTACTTTTCTGATTACGTATACATTAAGTCTTTTCCTACGATATTACAACTGCTCTGTCAAGACAGAATGATCCGAGGTGCAGTTTAGCTGATTGTCACCAGGTGGCAGAGTCTTCAAATAAATTCATCTTTCTACCAAGAGTGTAACAGTGGCCCCTTATTCATTTGAATTTCACAACAAAAATACACATACAAAAGAATCACGGGGTTCATCCACATACCCTACACCCTTCCTGCAGCTTCCCCCAAGTCCCTTATAGAAGCTCACCAATTCCCCCATCCCACAGCTCCCACTATGAGCGAAAGAAGACCGAGGGTCCATCCAGTTCGCCTTCCACCATCCCGGCAGTCGCATGACGTGTCGTGTCCCAAACTGTATACTGTGTCCCGAGATATCATTTCCTAACAGATATCTATCCATTTTGTTCTCGAAAGAATCGACAGTTTCTGCTTCCACCGTCTCCCTCGGGAGCCTGTTCCATACGTTTACTACTTGCTCACTGAAGTAGTGTTTCCCCAGATTTGTTCTGCATTTGTCTCTGTTCAATCGCAGGCCGTGTCCTCTGGTTCTACTGTTCAGCACAAGCAATGTCCTTCAAAGCGTACCAGCAATTTATGGACACAATTCTTAGAAAATCAATTAATCTGAATGCAGCCCCTCGAGCCAACGGTCTAATTTATGAACAAGGTTTATAAATTAAACAAAAAGGTTTTCAGGGCAGGAAATGTATTATTTCACAGGTCTATCACTAAAAATTTTATAACAATCCTTAAGTTTGATATGGTTCCTTTCACTTCAGGGCAACATATCAAAACACTTTGCAGGATATATTGTAAAGTGCAGTGAATGTATGTTTGGTGGGCAAAGACGGTGTTTTGTTAAGCAACGGGTTGAAACAAAAAATTCACTTCATTTTAATAGTATTAAGTCTTTTTTTTATGCCTATTCTTGTAGTGAAATGGATATGATCCCATTTTGCTTCTTACTGTACAAACCCAAACCTGCAAGCCACCAACAGATAATGGGATAAAACAGCTTTAATTCAAGAAACCCAAGCCGTGTATAAATGAAGAACAGATCAGCACATCAGACGCATTCTAATTAAAAAACAATAATAAATAATAATTCTTGTTCTGATAATAGTGCCTTTCACGTCAAAAGGATGTCTCATAGATGTTTCGCCCACAGCATACTCAGTTAATCCACTTTACAATATATAGTATATACAATATGTAGAGTCTGTGATCATGAACTGCGATCAGAAAGCACATGCCAGGTTCATATGTAAGCACACAAACAGGCCTGGAACAAATTGTTGCTCCGAGTGTGAATCACTGTTTAATTTTTTAAACCATTTTGGCAGTGGCTGTATGCAGTAACTTCAGGGTTCAAATGTGATGTAGTGGAGCAGTCAGCTTGGTATTTTACAGGAGTCTAGTTTAAGGTAGTGATTAAAAACCTAATAATTTATTATAATATAATAATCATCCTTGCAATTGATATAGCGCCTTATCACATCACTGAGACGTCTCAAAGCACTTCACAGAGTATACTGTAAAGTGAATTGACAGTACATTTTGTGGGGCGACACACGTCAACCAATTGCGCACGGCTGTGTCCCACAAACAGTCGTAGATTGAGTGTCCAAATTTCTTTTTTGAGGGATTATTAACTGTGCTAAAGCGATCTGCCAATCGACCTGCAACTGGGTTCCTACTTACTGCTAGGTAAACAGAGGCGTGTGGAATAAGGAAAGTTGTCTAAGGTTTCGCCCAGCCTAGGAATCGAAGCCAGGTCCAATCGAGTGCTCTAACCACTACACTACAGAAGGGACACGAACATAATCCCTTCACAGAAGATGAAGTCTTCAAATGCTTCATGTGAGAGTCACAAAAAAGCAAGGAACGTGACAAAGGACTCTTCCACAGACCAGGCAATACCTGCCCTATTGGGGACTCTTTCTCCCTCCCCCATCTCCCCGGTTATGCGGCAAAGTTCTACAGATATACTTCCTGCTCCTAAAGATATTCGAGCAAAAAAACATCTTACTATTCCACCCCCACATCTCCGCTGTATAAACCTGGTCTCCTACCCTCCGTGGATAAAAAATTTTCTTCTCAACCGCCCACCCACAACCCCAGCAGCAAAGAAATAATTGCATCCAAGGAAATATTTATTTATCTCAATCTGTACCGATCCCTACTATACTTAATGTTTTTAAGCAGGTACTTAATACCCTCTGCCCTTGTAAGTTATAGGAACTTCCATCAGCCTGGTTTAGTCGTGCCCCCGTGAATCCTACCACGTTCTACAATGAGGGAATTACAAGAGATAAAACACCATCATTTACTACAGTCTAAACATTATAAGTACAAGGTAACTGATGGCAGATCTCAAAGGGAGTTTAGGAGGAACCTCTTCACGCAGAGGGTGGTGAGAATGTGGGACTCGTTGCCGAAAGATGTGGTCGAAACGAAAAAACCCATCAAGGTATTGCAGAGGCGTACACGAGGAGAAAAAGGAATAGAGGGGCATGAGAGGGGATTAGGAGAGGTGGGAAGCATTAATAGTGGCGTAGATTTGTTGGGCTGAACGGCTTGTTTCCGTGTTGCGATAGTCGATGTGTCGTAAAAGCAAGTGACGCTGTTTGAAACAAATGGCTGTCAAATATGCCCCACAGAGCTTGACAGTGGTGGAGCATGGATGATGGACGGATGGACGTATGGACAGGGGTTGGGGGAGGGAGGTTGACCGTAGCCACCGTCAAAGAGGAAAGTCTTCAGGCGCGACCTGAAGATGGGGAAGGAAGGCGGAGGGATAGAGGAAGAGTGTTCCAGAGTTTCGGGGCATAGTGGTCGAAAGCTCGGCCACCGATGGTGGAACGGAGGGCATTTTGGGATACATTTTTCCACAATTATGCACTCGGGGTACATTTTCTTGAAAACTCGGAGAAAATGGAGCAGCTGAAATACATTTTCTGGCAGGGATTTTTTTTTGGCTCTGGGCAGATATTCATTCACAAAATGTAATTATGTGACAAGATTACAGCCGGGACCAATATCTCAGCAAATAACACTGATACTGCCAGCGCCCTATATTAAGCAGGGATTCAGATGGGGATTTATTTTAAAGGAGGGTGATTTTTATGAACATGCTTCTCTTAAGATTGTGGAAATGTTTTAAGAAAACACCCGAGGTGCCTTGCAGTACCAGCATCCTCCACCAGGGGCGCTGCAGTGAACGTTGCAACTCATCATGGCATTTGGGCAAGAGTCCTGAGGTAGAACCGGAGATGGAGTCTGGAGAAAGGCTGGAGAAACAATGACCACAGAAGACACCTTAGATCCCAGCACAAGCCCTTCAACGTCCGGCTGGCTTAAGAGCGATATACAGGCAGAGGGAGGTCTGGAGGGTCCTTCGTGAGTGGAGAATGGTGCGGGTCGAGGGGGGAACCTCACCAGAAAGAAAACTATTTCACGTAGAGAAAGACAGAGAGGTGGGGAGTGGGTTGAGTTGAGTTTCTTCAGAGGTGAAACCAAGATGAAAACTCACAAAAGGGCTTTGGGACACTATCACCCCTGGGTGAAGGGTGCTATATAAATGCAAGTTGTTGTTGTTGTTGTTGTGTTTCTCCGGTGTTCTTGGCCAACATTACCCCAATTAAAATTGATCATTCATTCCGTGGCTGTTTGTGGAACACTGTTGTGCGCAACTGGCTGCCGCGTTTCGCCCACAAAATACACAGCACAGTCTATCCTGTGAAGCGCTTTGGGACGTCTCAATGAAATGATAAAGCGCTATGTCAAATGCAAGGATTATTATCAATATTATTACTATTCATGGCTGTTTGTGAGAGGGATGTGCGTGCACACCGGCTGCCATGTTTGCCAACAGGTGACATAGTCGCTTTACAGTGTATCCCGTGAAGCACGTTGAGACGTCCTCCTGATGCGAAAGGCTCTGTTTCAAAAGCAAGGGTTATTATTATTATTATTATTATTACAGCTTTTTACTTACAATTCCTGACCGTACAAATTCGTGACCTGTCTTGAAATAAGCTTAGACTAACCTGTCCACCAGCAGGTGGCAGCAAGAGCAACTCTTCGTGAAAGCAGTGGGGAAAGGAAGAAATCGAGACCTGGTTAGAGGCTGAATGAAGCAGTAAACACACAGGTAAGAAAGAGCAGCACCGCAGAAAACGGAATCCGAGGCGATAAACTCAGCAAAACGAGAGACATTGAGAAAAGAGCACCAACATCCTGAAGCTTCCCCTTCGCTCCACCCTCTCAGTGATCTACATCATCTTCGCGGATCGCTTTGAGATACGCTAACGGGAAGGTGGGGTGTTCCTAGCTGGACAAGCAGCAGAAAAGCTTGCCGGACAGCGATACCAATGGCAAGCTGTGGGGTTAGACTCCAGCAGTTAGCCCAACGCACACGCTCTTGCCAACCTGCGCCTAATACCTTCTGGAATTAGGTCAGCGGGATGCCTGCCTGCCTCCAGGGAGAGAGAGAGCGAGAGAGGGCGCATTCCATTCCAACAACCCATCTCTGGGATTTCCACGTGTAGGTGGGATGCAGGGAATTCTCAGCTTGGTTTGGATACTCTTAATCGCCGTGATGGGTTTCCGCGTGCGTCAGGCCCCCCCCCCAAAAAAAAACACAATATATACTACGGCAAAGGCGCTATATAAAATTGCAGGTTGCTCTATTGTTAGAACCCTGTTGTTTTGAAATTTTATGAGCGAAATCTCCCCCTCTCCCCCCAATCAAAGTCAACATTAAAGTCTATTAAAAATAGAACCCCTTTGAAAGACATTTGGATGTGAAGAATCTACCTTGTGAATTACCAGGTTGATTCCCTATTGCTTGACATTGAACGTCGAGTGATAAATGAATAAGCTTCTGGCCATAACTGTGTTTAATTAAAGCCACCTCACCGACGAGAAGTTCTTTAATACAAAGAAGCAATTCAGATCATTCTAATCTACTTCCCACAGAGCAAAGGGAACCTGCTGGGATCTTAATGATGGATTTTTTTCCCGATAGCTCGTTTAAAAGGTAGCCCTTTATTTCTTATAATGCAGGATGTGGAGACTTTTTACGGAAAACTCAGAAAACCCACAGATTTGTGTCTCACCTCACGTCACCTGTAGCTACAGTGTCAGCCTGGCTCAGTGATAGCGATCTCGCCTCTGAGTTCGAAGGTTTGTGGGTTCAACTCCCATTTCGGGACTTGGCATCACACAGTCTTAAAATGACACTTCAATGGAGGGGGCGGGGGGTGTTGCATTGTCAGAGATGCTGTCCTTTGGATGAGACTTTAAACCAAAGGCACTATTAAAGATCCCACGGCACTATTCGAAAAGAGAAAGGATATTCTCCCAGTGAAAATGGATCATTTTGGGCCAACAATTCCCCCAAAATATAATTGGTCTCTCACTGCATGGCTTTTCGTGGGACATTGCTGAGTACAATTGGCTGCCGCATTTCGCCCACAAAATACACAGTCTATAGACTTTACAGTATATCGGATGAAGCATTTAGAGATGACTCAACAATGCTATATAAAAGGCGCTATATTAAATGCAAGGATTATTATTATTCATTAGGAAAAAGATCCCCTGAAAATACAATAGGTGTCTCTTGCTGCTCACACGAGGAACTTGTTTTTTTCTGCTCTTCAAACTTTATTGAAATTATTGAACACCTCTCGATTGAAATCAGCGCTCTGGGACGCTATCCTGCGTGAAGGGGACAATATAAATTCACGTTGTTGTCATTGTTGTTGTTAAAATTGCTCCAACTTAAAGCAAACATTCTATTGCATAAACAACAACTATCTACTACTTACAATTGACTGCCGCGTTTCGCCCACAAAATACAGTCAATTCACTTCACAGTATATTTTTGTGTGAAGCGCTTTGAGACGTCTCAACGACGTGATAAGGCACTATATCAAATACAAGGATTATTAAGCTTAGAGTGAAAATAAACACATAGTGAACATGGTAACCGTAATGATTAGGCATAGGGTTTGGATTTGAACCTTAGACTATATGGCGGGGTGGGCGGGGGGGAATGGGGGGAGGGGGGAGAGAGCGCAGGAATGTGGGTGTGGGGTGCCAAACGTCCCCCTTGTTAGCACATTTACGGTTCTTTGCTGGGCTACACATGTTTTCCTCACGTGTCAGTAAATATCCTGAGCTTTGCCCATGTGACGTGGCTAAGGAGCTGGATAAGCAGAAAGCAAAGAGAGGCGTCTCAGAGAAGGAAATACTTTTAGCTGAAAAGCCAATGACCGGCGCACATGGCAGAAATCCCATGCCACCAATTTATACAAGCAAAAAATAGCCCTCAGAATGGTTGAGAGCGTGCTTTGGCTATGAATAGCCCTCGGACTCGGGTTGCGCTTACCAGTGATTTTGTGCATGTTATTTATGTGGCGGTTATCAGTAAATGAGCAGTTCCTGGAACCATTCTCTCAAAGTTGTTTGAGCAGGTCAAGTCAGAGCGAAGGCCAGTTAGTCGTGTCTGCCACTTTTTTTTTGCAGTTTTGTAAAAAAAAAACATACGTCTATAGCTATGTGAACAAGGGCTATGGCTTGGCACAACAATATCCTCCCTCCTGTATATACAAAATACAATATAATTTACACATATATACAGTCATGCCTTTCTACGATCCGTCAATCGACTAACAACTGGGTTCCTACTTACTGCTGGGTAAACAGAGGCGTGTGGAGTAAGGAAACTTGCCTAAGTTTTTGCCCCGACTGGAAGTCAAACCCGGGGCCTCTCGCTTGCGAGGCGAGTGCTCTAACCGCTACGCTACAGGACTCGGTAAATACCTCATGACTGGCTGTTTCAGCAGAAACACTTAGCTTTCATTCTCAACAGTATTTCTAACGAAGTACCAGTCACTGATGGACACCTCAATTACATTTTGATCAAGCAATGCCAACTTCTGACCTCTTATATTTTTTCCCCCAGCTGAGTGCATCAGTAATGATTTGGAAATTACTTTTCAAATGACCCTGAGCCAGAAACGCCAAACAGACTTACAGATTTGCATTCTGTGACAATCTCCCATGTTACTGAGATTGGGTTATAGTTTGAAGCCTTTGCTTGTTTTTTTTACCACAAATTAAAGCTATGCCTTGTTTGAAACAAGACGGATCATTTAATAACTGTCCACGGTAACATAAAAGCTCGAGAAGAAATAAGAACTTGCATTTTTACAGGCCTTATCAAATTGCAAAATCTTAAAGTGCTTTTCAGTTATTACTGGTAAGTGTAGTGACTGTTTTTGTACCTCTCACAAATGCCAGGATTTCCGAACCCTCTCTAATAATGACTGCAACTATAAAGGCACGGGTTCTGCTCACTCTTACTTCATCCATCAGCTCTGAGGTAAGGAACCGGTTTCGCAATTGCTGTGGATCCTAACAACTGATGGTCAATCCAACCCTCTATATTTATTTCATCAACCTTCCAGCACTGATTGGGCCCATCCAGAATTCAAACCCAAATCGTTATGGCTCTACGTCTGTTGCTTAATTGACTCAGAGACTCACATTGTGTTTGACATATTCAAGAATAAGCCCTTCCTTGCAATTTCCACAATTCTCAACGTTAAATTCAGGAAGGTACGTTCTTCCCTTCAAGCCTCTGCTCCCCTCAAACCCTCACTATTCCAATCCAATACAACTGCAATACCAATCCAATAAACGTCCTGCATGATTGAACTCCTAACCAATCCCAATACTACCCAACACAACAGAACTTCGACCCAACTAGGGAGACGTTGGAAGCAGAAAGTGTCAATTGTTTCAAAAGCAATTAAGATAGATTTCTTTTAGGAAACAATATCTCGGGAGACAGTATATTTGGGACACGACATGTGCCTGCGACTGCCAGGATGGTGAAAGGCGAACTGGATGGACTTTGGTCTTCTTTTGTCTAGCAATTCTTATGTTCTTCTATGAATCCCAGTGGCCACATCCATATAACTGATTCATCCCCTAAAATGCACAGTGATCAAAAAAATGTCCAACCTTACAACATGTGCATATGTAAAATACTGAGTAAAATCGTTTCAGTTTCTGACTCATTAAAAGCCTCATTAAAGCTAAGAGGGTAGTTTGAACTTTCTTCCTTTGTTCTTCTTCCTCTCTTTCTTACAAACACTTTATATGATATGATTAGAAGCGTTTTCCGTGCAGTACTTTCCTGGCTGAAAACCTCTCAAATAATACACATTATCGCTGAAACAACTATGTTCTGCAATGACGCTACGAGAGTTGATTTTCTTTTGATCAATCGTTGCGATTTGTGGTATTTCTCCATCTTGGAGTCCTGTAGCTCAGTGGTTAGAGCACTCGCTTTGCAAGTGAGAGACCTGAGTTCAATTCCAGGCAGAGGGCGAAACCTTGGGCAAGTTTCCTTACTCCACACAGAGCCTAATAATAATCCCTTCAAAAACCAAAAACAATAATAAATTGGTCATTTTCAATCTACGACTGTTTGTGGGACATTGCTGTGCGCAATTGGCTGCCGCGTTCGCCCACAAATATACAGTCAATTCACTTTGCAGTATGTTCTGTGAAGCGCTTTGGGACGTCCTCCCGACGTGAAAAGCGCTATATCAAATGCAAGGATTATTATTATTATTATTATTATCTTGATTAAAGTCCAATCATACCTGATGGAGTGCATGCTCCTGGACGCTATCCTGCCCGAGGGGCGGTATATAAATGCAAGTCGTTGTTTTTGTTGTTGCTCGATGCTGTGATCCCAGGGGAGATTCAACACAATAAAGCTTTTAAGAGTTTTGCAGAGAAACTAAATCCTCTGTCTGACAGATGATCGCAGATTACAATTTAATATACAGTCGGCAATGAAGCATGGCAGGTTTTGACTGACTATGACTAGAAGCATGTAGCATGTTGCAATTCTTGATTTACTTTTTGGGGAAAGGCAGGATATAAATTTGTAGCCTGCAATTAATTTGTACTGTGTGATAATACGCAGCGCAGCTCTGTTTTATAGGAGCATAGGAACAGGAGGAGGCCATTCAGCCCCTCGAGCCTGTTCTGGCATTCTATTAGATCGTGGCTGATGTGTACTTCAACTCCAATTACCTGCCTTTTGCCCCGTATCCCTTTATAACAAATATCTATCCACCTCAGTCTTGAAAAGAGTATCCAAACCAAGCTGAGAATTCCCTGCATCCCACCTTCACGTGGAAATCCCAGAGACAGATTGCTGGAATGGAATGCGCTCTCTCTCCCTGGAGGGATGCATCCTGCTTAATAATAATAATAATAATCCTTGCATTTGATATAGCGCTTTTCACGTCTTCTAGACGTCCCAAAGCGCTTCACAGAACACACTGTAAAGTGAATTGACTGTATATTTGTGGGCGAACGCGGCAGCCAATTGCGCACAGCAATGTCCCACAAACAGTCGTAGATTGAAAATGACCAATTTATTATTGTTTTGTTTTTTTGGAGGGATTATTATTAGGTGTGTGGAGTAAGGAAACTTGCCTAAGGTTTCGCCCTCTGCCTGGAATTGCACTCAGGTCTCTCACTTGCAAAGTGAGTACTCTACCCACTGAGCTACAGGACTCCACTCTAACCACTGAGCTACAGGACTCCGCTTACCTAATTCCAGAGAGTATTCGGCGCAGGTTGGCAAAAGCCAAGGCTTAGGGAACCCAGAGTGTACGTTAGGATACTGTTGGCGTCTAATCAGCTTAAACCGCATAGCTTGCCATTGAGAAAATTTGTACCACAACCCTCATGGTCACCTCTTGTGTTTTCTTTTCTAAAAAAAAAATGGAGCTCGAATACAAACAAGTGAGTGGCTGCTGACAATTGGCAAAAAAAAGCGAATTCAACACACTAAAGCCCTTGCATTAAAAACTTTAAATCGCTTAATATTTTCAATTGGGCCAACTCATTTATTAACTTTGAATTATATTTTTGGATGATTTTGATCTCTCTTTGATGAGGAACAACGCGATCTGTTTTGTGAGTTCTACCTCTCTCCCCGCCTTAAAAAACCTTCCTATAACCAGGATTCTTCAACTGTGCTTTTGGTCACGTTTAACTCTTCATATCCCTCCGCTCTTATCACCCCATCATTGCATTGGCCGAGTCCCAAGACATTTTCTTTTTAAGTGAAAGGCACGGCATAAATACAAGAGTTGAGGCTTTAGACGTGTGCTGGGAAGGATCAAGAAACTGCTGCTTGAGAAACGTCTGGAAAGCTGTGTTTTTATAGCACTAAAAGAACAGCAAATTAAGGCGACAGACTATCTCTGGCATCACAAACACAGTGCGGTTTTGAATCATGGATCCGGCTTCCTTGTCACCTCCTTTAATCAGGCAGAAGGAATCTTGTGGGTAATGTAACCCAACTGGTTATCTGCGCTGGATATCATTGTCTGGGCCTCAACGGAAACCCAGGGGTGATGAATCCTTCCGGAGAGCAACTTCAACCAGTGCGCTTACGATGACGCAACAACAACAACAACTTGCATTTAGATAGCGCCCCTCACACAGGCTAGCGTCTCAGAGCGCTTGACAGATGCTGAGCCAGAGGGGGGGGGGGGTGAGGTGACCGTAAGCACGGTCGAAGAGGAAGATCTTCCGGCACGACCTGAACTTCGGGGAAGGAAGGGATTTAAAAATAAATTTTAGTAAGATAAATTTATCTCAATTTATAAAGAGGGATTTAAAAGAAACAATCATGCTACAAACACAACCAACGTCATTCCACTTAGCAGGGAGAGAAATCTCATCCCATCGAACCAGGAGCCCAGTAAACTGTTTATCGGGCTTTGAGGTCAAAGGATCTTATAGGCTATAGTCACAGTTATTCATATCATATTACCAATCAATCATATTAGGGAAGTTTATTTTGATAACAAGCCGACTTATGCAATGAATCTCGAACCACTTCATCTTTCCCTGAGGTACTGCCACCTTGGTCACAACAACAACAAAATACAACAACAACAACAACAACAACAACAACAAGATTCCATTTATAAAGCGCCTTTCACGTCAGGAGGACGTCCCAAGGCGCTGCACAGTTGGGTCATGACCCGAGCAGGGGGGAAATGGTCAGGGTGAGGGAAGGGAGGGAGCAAGGAGGGGGGAAATGGTCAGGGTGAGGGGAGGGATGGGAGGGAGCGAGAAGGGGGAAGAGAGTCGAGGGGAGCTGAAGGCACGGTCAAAGAGAAAGGTTTTGAGACCGGCCTTGAAGGAGGAAAGGGAGGAAGCGGCGAAGGCACTGGGGGATGGAGTTCCAGAGCCTGGGGGCTGAGAGGCTGAAGGCCCGACCACCGGGCGGTTGGGGCGGGGGACGTGGAGCAGACCGGAGCCAGAGGAACGGAGGGTACGGGCAGGTAGGTAGGGGGATAGTAGGTTGGAGAGGTAGGAGGGAGCGAGGCCGTGAATGGCCTTGTAGGTGAGGATGAGGATCTTGAAATCAATCCTCTGGGGGATGGGGAGCCAGTGGAGGCGAGCGAGGGTGGGAGTGATGTGATCGCGAAGTCTGGTGCGGGACAGTACACGAGCTGCAGAGTTCTGAATGACCTGCAGTGTGGAGAGAGGTGCCGGGAAGGCCGACGAGGAGAGAGTTCCCATAGTCCAGCCTTGAGGTGACAAAGGCGTGGACCAGGTTTCAGCAGCGTGAGGGGTGAGGTAGTGCCGTAGTCTGGCGATGTTCCGAAGACAGACAACAGTTACATTTGTATAACGCCTTTCATGTCGGGAGGACGTCCCAAGGTGCTGGAAACGGCTACTTTTATACATACAGCGCAAGCTCATAAATAGCAAAGCATCCCGTGGCAGGGGGTACTCTGAAGGGTGTTGTTTGTGATACCCGGGGAGCCGGGTTATTCACACTGTATAACAAGGTAAACCTCACACATGCTCCCCATTTCTTGTTTATTTGGGGGCAATTCTGCAGAAACCCTGTTCCCCAAATTCTGACCAAATTTCTGGATTTTCCAAAAGTTCTGCGCTGTCCTAAATTTGAAAGCTAATGGTCTCGAAGTTAAGAACGTGAGAAGTTTCGGGATTCTGGGACCGATCGCTCTCGTTTATTGCCGAGAATTCACCCACAAAATATACAGTATATTCTGTGAAGCGCTTTGAGACGTCTCGATGGCGTGATAAGGCGCTATATCAAATGCAAGGATTATTATTACTATTATTATTATTGTTATTATTATTAAACTCAGTTCACTGACAAAACACACAAGGACAGAACCAACCAACAGTCTGAGAGAGTCAAATAAGCAACTCTCTTTAATGCGAGTCCAGTGATGTTGCACTGAAACCAAAGCCTCTGCAGCGCTGAAGCAGGTTTGGATCGATTGAATCAAGCGCAGTCAATTTTTGATTCCAGCCACAGAACAACTGTCAGTTTTAGCTCAAAATAAGTAGTAATCTGTTTCAGAACCTACTAACATCGGGGAGGTGTGCAGACCGTGAACATGAAGCTGTCTACAGCAATGAACACTTTGATATTGAGCTAGCTGGAAGATAGGGACCGAGCACAGGGGAGACTGATGCATTTTATCTAATAGGCTTCTGAACCTCTGACCTTACAATATTGCCCCAAAGTGCCGCTAACTGGAAGAAGAGTGGAACGCAACAAAGCGATAAATTAAATATGAACCAATTTTACAGCAGAGCGAAGATCTCTGAAAGGTGACAACTAACAGGATCCTTAATGGGCAAAGTAATAAACCTGTCCTTCGTTTACTCAATAAGACTTTATTTCTCTTTGTGTCAAAAGGGTCGGGGAAGGCAATGCGGCAGCAAATTGAAGCTACCTGTCAACGGTTTCCGCAGGGAAAGTGTCAAGAACTCATCCGTTACTTTTAGTTTAATATCTCTGACCTATCTATGTAAGTTTGCAGCCTCTCTGCTGGAAGATGGTGAGTAATTTTCCGTGCAACAAAATGAAACAAACTAAATCAATCGGCCCTCTCACGAGATTATACGAGGCACGAGAATGGTGGGAAGAAAGTTGGAGTGGGCGGTACTGGTATCATACATACACCTATAGACCGCTGGGGAAGGGGTTTTGGAGGGGGGGGGGGGGGGCGGGGGAGGGCACTTACCCTTCTGGCCCCCTGCTACTGCCCTTTCTATTACCTTCTCCACTGAATGGGACGAAACTTACTGCCCAATTTATTTCCTAAGCGGTTGACATGCGATAACTCCCTTTGCTTGTCATTGTAATTTGGGGTTGGGCATTTTACCTTTGTGAGGGTTGCAAAGGCAATACTGTTTCTTTAATGAAAGGGTTACTGTAACGCCCAATCCCTTAACCCAACCTCTCCGGTCACTGAACCAGCCATACCTTTGCTGTCCACCTTGAAGTCCTCGGGCAGTAAGCCATCTTGCCTGTTGCCCAGCACGAATGCCAGGAAGGAGAGGATCATTGCGTCCAGGATCCCAATAATGGCCAGGATGTAGGCCCAGCGAACAGAGCAGGCGCCCAGTGTGTATTTGTCTGTCTGCTCGCCGCACATTCGCTTGACTTCATCCGAGTCCCAGCCGTCTGGGAAGATCATGCAGCCCAACACCAGGCAGCCGGCTGTAAGAAAGGAATTTGGGAAGTTAGGGACGACGGTTTTCTTTTCGTTTCGTCGGGGGGGAAAAAAAAGATTTCCTCCAAAACTCTGGAACACTCTCTGTCGATCTCTCCGCCTTGCCCCTTCCCTCTCCATCCTCAGGCCGCGCCTAAAGACCTCCCTCTTTGACTGTGTCTACAATTACCTCCCCCCTCCCCTTCCTCCCCTACTCTATCCCCTCCGGGTCGGTGTCGTGCTCCGCCACCGTCGAGCGCTCTGGGGCGCTACTCTGCACGAGGGGCGCTTTATAAGGCCAAAGTGGTTGAGCAATTGGCTGCCGCGTTTCATCCACAAAAGACACGGTGAATCCACTTTACAGTAGAGTAAATTCGGCGAGGCGTTTTGAGACGTTTCGACGATGTGCCAAGCCACTATCTCAACTGCACGGATTATTATTATGATGATAATGAAGTTTGAATGCAAAATCTGCACATGGTACGCATCCAGAATTATTAATAAACGCTATCGCAGTGTCGTTCAGGTGTAGAAACTGATGACTTTTGCTTCACTCGGTACGCCCCACACACCCTCTCCATTTCTCTCGGGGACGTTTGAATCTGTGGGCTGTGTTTTGACACCGTGACATTCTGCTGTGCATCAGTGACCACCGCCTCATCTCAATGATTCCCCGCAAGTGATTCTGACGCACTGAATTAATGTCAGCGTGAATATTTCAAAAGTCAGAGCAAATTAACTTTGGGTTTATCGGGCAGATTCCAGATGAAATGGCATTAGCTTTAGCGTTAATAGTTAAGGGGTAATAATCCCTTAAACAAAAATAGTATATGTACATATTAAAAAGATGCGCTCACTCAATCCATCGAATGTTTGCAGGACACCGCTGTGCGCAATTGGCTGCCGCGTTTCACCCACAGAACACAGAACAAAGCCAATTCACTTTGCCGTATATATTCTGTGAAGCGCTTTGAGACATTTCAACGACGTGATAAGGCCCTGTACCAAATGCGAGGATCATTATTGTTATTATAAATAACACATGACCCTCCCCACCCTCTTGACACTTGACATTCCTCGCAGGATAGCCAAGCTTCTTGCAGCAAATTTGTCGTATCAACAGCAGCAGAATGCAATCCGATTTATGACATACTAAATGTCAAAGCAACGTAAAATGTTCCCGTTTATCAGGGCCCTTTCGTCTGGAGCACGTCACAAGCTCACGATATCAAGGAGAGTGGCTCAGACAGTGATTCTGAGGGTATGGTTAAACACAGGTTATGAAACCTCAGTTTTAATCTGAAATGTCGCTCCTTCGATCGTATTATCCGTGATGCGCGCTTCCGAATGTTGCCTCCTCCATCTATTCTGACAGATGTGTCCGACGCAGTGTTGCGCTAAGTTTGGAAGCTCCCCTTCATCCCTTCGTAAGTCCTTGATGAATGTGTTTTTTTATCGAAAACACATTTATCAAGTTTCCTTCTGAGCAAAAACAAGACATAGGATAAAGGTTAATTGTTACACATGTCTCTTTTATGCATCACCCACAAAATATACAGTCAATACACTTTGCAGTATATTCTGTGAAGCGCTTTGAAGCGTCTCGAAGATGTGATAAGGCGCTACATTATGCAAGGATTATTATCATTGTTATTATATGTAAGGAAATACTTAGTATTCACCTCCTATTATATATCAAAGCAGTATAAAGGTGTGATATTCAGCTACGATTTTTCCACTTAATTTAGTCGTTACTCATAACAACTGCAAAATCGTTTTGGAGATTCTCTTAAGTCTCATGTCGTTTGTAATAAGGTGCAGTTAAATGTTTTTCTAATCTTACTTTTGACGCGTACCAGGGATGAAAACCTTTGCGACTTATTGCGACTCAGGAAATTTAATGTGTAAAATACCACATCAATATATTTATAGAATTGGAACATTATTATATTCCTCTATCCCCCACTCCCCCCAAGAAAATTCCAATTTAGGCCATAACATTCAAGCTAGGTTTATAAACACTCCATAGAAAGCGCACATAAACGAATGCACTCAGTTCTCCATCAAACATTCATTTGGCCAATGGGCAATTTTACTGTTCCTGGAACCAATATTTTTCACACATAAAAAGGATTCTCATATAGGTCAAATATCACAGACTAGCAATTGGCGGCAATAGGTAATTACCCTAGAATTTAGGAGAAAGTCCCTTTGTGTTTTGAATGACGAATTGGAGTCCGGTACTTCAGTGGTTAGAGCACTCGCTTCGCAAGCGAGAGGACCTGGGTTCGATTCCCGGGCAGTGACTTAGGCCAAGTTTCCTTACTCAACAGGCCTCTGTTTACCCGGCAGTAAATAGGAACCCGGTTGTTAGTCGATTGGCGGATCGCTTCAAAAAGAAATACATCCTACAAAAAAAGAATAAGTTGAATTGTAGGAAAATATTTAAATCCGGTCTCAACTTGGAATCTGGATTGCAGCAGTGCTTAAAAAAATCTGGCTTCCAAACCGAGAGGCAATTTACAATTTTTACACAATTATTTCATTTTTCATGCCAAATGGTTTCACAGGCTAAGGCCAGGTGGAATTTTATCTCTCAGCAAAACCTTTCAGCTTTCCGTCAAACTCACAAAATCAACTGCAACTTCCTCTTGACTGAACTAATTATTCTTGATGAATTCAATGCTCACCATAAATAGTGATTCTGCTTCTCTGTGGCTCATCAGTCAGGGAGCAAAGTTGAATCTTTTGCTGTCTTAATGTCCTTGAACAACTCATTGATCAGCCTAACCAGATCCCAGACTGCATTAATAATAACAATAATCCTTGCGTTAGTTATAACGCCTCATCACGTTGTTGAGACATCTCAAAGCGCTTCACAGACTATTGTAAAGTGTGGTGACTGTGTATTTTGGGGCAAAACCTTTTTTTGCCCTTCTTTGATATTAGTATTATACTAAATTATTTTATATTATATTTTTCATATATTAGTATCAGACTAAATTATTATTATATTATTTTTTGCCCTGGTTTGACACTAATATTATATTAAGGTATTCAGTGAATACCTTAGTGAGAAGGCTATTCAGCCCATTGTGCCATTTGGGGAAAATTATATTGAAGCATCTGCCCAATAAATTGGTGGAAAATATTTGACAGGCTGGAAAGATTACTTCTATTCTTGATTCCCGGTTGGGGCAAAACCTTTGGCAAGTTTCCTTACTCTACATACCTCTGTTTACCTAGCAGAACGTAGGAATACAGTTGTTAGTCAATTGGCGGATCGCTTTTCCGGGGGTAATAATCTCTTAAAAAAATAATAATTTGGTTACTCAATCCACGACTGTTTGTGGGACACTTCTGTTTGCAATTGGCTACTGTGTTTCACCCACAAATATACAGTCAATTCACTTTACAGTATATTCTGTGAAGCACTTTAAGACACCTCAATGAAGTGATAAGGCACTATATCAAATGCAATGATTCGCATTATTATGTTTCTATACCTAGCCCCAGTTTTGAAACAGTTAATCCATAATCTGCTCCAATAAATTTGATCTGTATATTCATTAATCTGTGGGAAAAAAAAGTTTGGTGCAATCTCCATTCTCATGTACATTGTCTAGTTCTGTGTTCATAGTCCAAATCAAACAGTTTTGCTCTACTTATATGAACTGTGGCCTTTAGCATTTTTAAATCGTGGCTCAATCTTATTTTTCTAATGAAAATAAATCTTTGCTCGATAAGTCTATTTTTCCAAAACAGATCCATAAATCCAGAAATTGTCCTTCTTCCTTTTCTCTGAACTCTCTCCAAAACCAACATTCTTTTGACGTTTGGTATTCAAAATTAAATTGCAAAATTTAAAACATAGCCAGAACATTAGTCCACATAAGGTTTGAATAATGATATTAATAATCAAAGGCAGAAGGAGTTTCTCCCGTTATCCCTTCCAATAATTCGCCCAAAGATAAATTTTGATCATTCACTTCACGGCTGTTTGTGGGACATTTTGTGCAAATTGTCTTGCCGTGTTTGCCGACCAACACACAGTCACTTCAGTTTAATTCCTGTGAAGCATCTTGAGACGTTTCAACGAAGCGATAAGGTGCTCTATCAAATACAAAGGATATTAAACGCCCTTTCGATTGACTTTAATTTCTTCGGAATTATGATGCGAGCAGCTTCGCGGTGCCTGGAATGCTAAACTTTGGAGCGTACAAACCTCAAAATCATCCACCAGAATTGGACATATCTAAAATCAATACACAGCCTAACCAGAGGCAGAATTCTCAAGGAGCCAGGCAATAAATGTAGATTTCAGAATGCAATTACTACAAAGCGGTCATTCATCACTCGTAGCGGATGAGGCACAGACACAACGTACAAGAATGAAACTTCAAAGCGATGTTTGCGGGAGTTTTGGATTAATCTGTGTGCGGTGCGATAGAAGCGACTACGCATTTATCTGTCCACAAAGTGATCAAATGCATGGATTATTGTAAGACGTCAGGATTGGCACTGTTTGCGAGTTGTTGTCCGTGCTGAAGTTGTTGAGTGGGTGGGTGGGTGAGGTTGGAGGGGTGAATATCCTGGATTTTTGTCCGCTCCGCTCTACAAGTTGGCGGTCGTGCTTTCAGCCACTATGCTCAGGATCTTTGGAACTCCCTGCCTCAAGCCTTCAGTGTTGTCCACTCTTTGACCTTCCTCTTCAACAGTTCCTCTTGCAGGTCTACTTAGATCGCGAAGAACCAGGAAGAAAATTAAAGATTCTGATTCTCGAAAAATGATCATTTCCCCCAACCACCCAAAAGAAAAGAAATGAGATTAAAGCTGCGTATTCTTAGTTTTGCGAAGGGCCTGCTATAATCATTCCCAGGCATAAAAATAAAAACACTGTAGCGTTT